TCAGTGGGCAAACGTACAAAATCAGCAGGGGATCAAATACTTTTTTCCCTCACTGTGGCTCCTTCCAAGGGCTTTACTGTCTGCTGGCCTCTTGGGAAATTTCTGGTAACTAAATATATAAATACGCTTCTTTGCTGGTTGTGTAATTGTACAATTAACTTGCGATTGCTCAAATACATTGACCCGTCATGACAAGTAATGTATCGTGTTCGTATAAGCTATCAATTGCCTTGAAAAAAACATGAATGAGCTTTTATTGCAACTGTATTTCAATCCTGCGATTTGCATATTGTCATAAAATGAATAAATTAACGTCAGAACTCTGCAGCTAACAGTGCACCATCCTGTATGAAATCGCAATTTTTTTTATTCTGAAGTCCCTTGGTCACACCTCGTTATCCACACCAGGGACACACATTTTATTTCTTGGCGATGACAGTTCGTCACGTGTCAATTAAACCTAATTTTTTTTTAAGTCTAAGATGTTGGAATACGCCATACTAAGTGATTTTTAAATGTGTTTGGTTCGGGTCTTTTTTTTTTATGCTGCCTATTGGTGATTGGGATGAAACTATCGACTCATGACAGACACCTCACTTTGATCAAGGGTGTCTGTCCGTATTCCAACCCAGGATCTCAGTCAGTGGTGCTGGCTCACTGATCTGATCCCTGAGCCACCCGGCCACCTTCAGCTAATTGACTTTTGAAGAGATTTACTCTTTTATAAATTCTTTGCGATGGCACACACTGCAAGCCACGGCGTGTAGCACTGTTGATACTGTATATGTGTTATTGCAAGGTCACAAGAACAGTGCCGTGCACTGTCTCAACCACACGAACGATTGTATGATATTGTAGACTGCACAAATATATACGCATTTTTCTTTTTTATATTGTAGTTGCTAAGAAGAAGCCGAGACATATAACACAATGTGGTCGGCGTTAAACGGCAACTGGACGGAGGATAGTGGGTGAGAGATGATGGACCTCTTTAATCGAGTTGGGTTACATGAGGGTTGTGACGAAAGTTCCGAAGTTGAGCTGTGAAAGAAAATAAAAATTGAGGTACCTCTTAATAATATGTTGAGCTTTTGCACCGTACGTAGCCAACCATGCTAATCGGAGGTGTGGGGGACAACACACTAAACACAAAAGCAGTGCTAAAGAAATTCGTTTTCAATATAGATTTTAAAGTAGATAGCCGCAGTGGCTTCCTAATATCGGAGGGAAGAGCGTTCCAGACGGCCGCAGAAGTGCATCTGAAAGCGTACGATGCAGTGAGCGTCTTTGTTCGATGCCGAACCAAAAGATTCAATGGCTAGTCAAGAGATAATGATCATCAAGCATCTCAGCTATTTTTAAATACTGTACACGATTACATGATTGTTTTTAAACTCATTCAATTAATTCATGTGTTGATGTAATTATTATTTAACACCAGGTAAGAGCACATTTAGACATTGTGTTTTTCAAGGGCAATCTTTGAGAAAAAATAGATCGAAAGCTTAATTGTGAAAGTTTTTTTTATCCACAATATCATTGTCCTCATTGTCCTCATTGTGCCATCAGAAATTGTTTCTAACAGGTGGAATATTTTTTTACATTTCTTCAGAGTTTGACTTTTCTTTGCGAAGCGCACAAATAGTCTTTGTCAACTTTGTAGATTAATCGATAAAATAAATAATACAACAATGATATGAAAACACTTTGGATGGAGGGAATTCGTTCTGGCAATATAACTTGTAAATGTGGAAACAGTGAACATCAGCATGTGTGGTTTGCTAGCCCTGTAAGTCAGTACGGAGAAAACATGGCTCAAGCCTTTCTGATGACTCACAAATTCATCGAGTAGACCTTTACGTTTGAAGGAAATATAGCGATGACTATAGCATTGAGTCTTGATACAGAACGTAAAAAAACCCAGGAATAATGTACTTCTTAAGTGTCATGTGTGTACGTTAACAATTGAAACTGAACGTCATGTAAGAAATTAACAGTTTTACAGTTGCAATAAATAAAGTAAAAAAGTGCCGTTTACAATAAAATTAGAGAAAACAAGACCATCTTTTGAAATCCAATTTTTATACGCATGAAAACACTACAAGCAAATGCCTGGGATACATGGGCATTAGAGAATACTTCGTATGTTGGAAAACAATGCGAATCTGTGGGCACACTTAATATCCTGTTCAGAAAATGTATTGATTGTCATTCTCTTAATATATATTGTATTTTTTGTGTTTAGTAGATGTATGTGCAGGGAAAGTTGTGCTCTTATTTGGAATTACCCGGCTGCTTTGCGTCCACGTAAACAGCCTCGCCATCTGCTACCGATGCCTTATTTGGGTGTAAATGCCAGCACGAGGTGGAAAAAAATTCATTGAAATTCCCCAACCCTGAACGGTGTCGGGCACACCAGCGAAACCCTCCGTTGGTGTCGCATTCCCCACGCGCGCTGCTGCTCCTCCCCATCATTTGACACGCAGACTGAGCTCGACACAGCCTCTGGGCATGAAGTGCAACGTGGCCAGGAGACGGCAGCACAGCAGTGGATTCTTGACTCTATCTGTGCTGAGCTTTGAACGTTCCCCTCTCGTATTTGTGAGGGGGTACACCCCTGTCCAAACAGTAAACAAATTTAGTTTCCAGCCAATACACGAAAGTAACGTTCTGAAACAACTGTCCTACCTCAAAGGGTCCTCCTCTACCGGAGCAGATAGTATTCCCGTCTTTGCTCTACTAACTGTTGGTCACCTAATATACAAACCTATTGTCCATAGTTTCAACCTGTCCATCAAAGAAGCATCAGTTCCTCTAGAATGGAAACATTCCTATGTCCGTCCACTTCACAAAGGGGGCCCTAAAGATGATCCAAATAACTACAGACCTATCTCAATTTTGTCCCCGTTGATGAAAATTTTTGAAAAATTATTGACCTACCAAATTAGCAGTTTCCTGTCCACCAACAATCTACTACATCTAAAACAATCTGGGTTCCGAAAAAAATACAGCACCATATCTGCTGCATTAGACTCTCTGAATCACATTTATAGTAGCCTTGATAATAAGCAGTACTATGCCTGTCTTTTTCTAGACCTGTCCAAAGCTTTTGATACAGTAGACCACAAGACCCTGCTTAGTAAACTAAGTTGCCTCGGTTTTTCCGAAAACGCAGTAAAATGGTTACAAAATTACCTCTTTTCTCGCACCCAAACTGTATTCACAGATGGTTGGAGGTCAAACAGTGTTAAGATAACAAAAGGGGTTCCACAGGGTTCCATCCTCGGCAGTCTCTTTTGTTCTCTCTTTATGTCAATGACTTGGGCACTGACCTGGATCATTCCTGGGTAAATCTTTTTGCAAATGACACGATACTGATTACTGCTGGCCGCTCCCCGGATGACGTGATTGCTAAGCTACAGGGTGATTTCAACAAACTACAACATCAGCTAGTTGCTCTTAAATTAGTCCTGAATACCTCCAAAACCAAGGTGCTATGCTTTTCACCAGGACTAAAGCAGGAAGTTATTTTTCCCCAATTACATTCCTTAAATAATTATCAAATAGACCAAGTCAAGATCTATAAGTATCTTGGGGTCGTCCTGGATTCAAAACTGAATTTTGAAGATCACATTGATTATATTGGTAAAAAGACAAAAAATAAAAATTGGTTTTCTGTATCGACACAAGCACTGCTTCCCCCCAATGTTCCGTTTGGAATTGATAAAAGCTACCATACTGCCTCTACTTGACTACTGTGACATCGTGTATAAATCAGCCCCAAGTACTGTACTGAAGAAGCTTGATTCCATCTATCACTCGTCCTTAAGATTTACATTGAACTGCCCATAAAGGACTCACCACTGTCATCTCTACATTGGGTCAAACTTAACATCTCTTAATGTTCGACGGCTTGTGCACCAGATCTTATTTATTCACGATGTACTTACAAAAAAATCCGCAGACTACCTGCTGGATCTCCTTTCTGTTTCAAAGAACAAATTTTACCTCAGGTCTTCGCTCATTTATCAGCTTCACATTCCCTATTGCCGTACAAAAACTGGAGGAAGGGCCTTTGCTATTGATGCCCCCAGGGTCTGGAATGCTTTTGCCAATAAACTGCAACTTGAATTGCTACCAATGAGATCTTCTCTCAAGACTGCTCTAGAAGAGTTGTACACCCCTAGCTGCCACTGCTATTCATTGGCGTAAAATAAAAGAAAATGTTTTCGCACCGGATGACGCTGCACAGTATTATCTGTATTTTGATTTGGCGTGCTGATCTTAAAGGTGCATTGAAAAATTTGATACTCCGACTGATGCTTCTGTTGTTGTGGAGTAACTCATGTAGCCAGCTATGGCTCTAGGATTTGGTGTTACATGTTATTTATGTAGTTTATTGTGAAAATTCGGTCACAGTCCCTGTGATCACTGTTACGTTGCAATTATGGCTTTATTTTTTGGTGATTTCGAAAAGTTTTTTTGGTTTGGACATGTTTGATTTGTTGTAGTACAGAGTTAGACTGATGGCCTTAATCTAAGTTTTCTTGTGGTTGTTGTTGTTGTTTGACTTGCATCCCACTGGGATTTTTTGCACACAGCGTTGGTGTACGGTGCTTTTTTCAGGAATATTTTGCTGTTTTTTTCATGGATTTTCTGTTTGCACAGTCACATAGTCACTTTAAGATGTTTTCTTGTTCGTGTTTTTTTTTGTTTGTTGTGGTTGCACCTGATTCAAGAGCCGAATGGCTCACAGGGCCATACCAAAATAAACCAACTGAAACTGACTTTGTCCCACAAGCACTCATTCCAAACAGCCAACGTGGAATCTTTCGGGAAAAAGTAGTCTTTAGGCTCGTTGAGGCTCTGCTAGGTAAATACAGGCCGTTGCTATTATCCAGATTCATGTAATTTTGTTTCATCTTGTCTGCACATTAATCCCAGCGTCACGATGTCTGAATACTCACGCTCGCGGTGCGGTTTACTTGTTCCCCTGACAGGGGATTCGTTTTGACCCGGACATCCCTCAGACGCTGCGGCTGGAGTTTGCCAAGGCCAACACCAAGATGGCCAAAAACAAATTACTGGGGACACCAAACCCCACGTTGCCGCATCCCGCCCTCGGCCCGCACTTCATCGCCAGGGATCCTTGTAAGTGTGCTATGTGGCTCGAGGGAGTTAAGGGTTTGTGGCATGGATGCAGGAAGCAGGGGGATTTTAATTGCGGGAGGAAAAGAAAGTAGTGGCGTGATGGATCGGGAGGATGGGATGGATGGGTTTAGGGTAGTTGGCAGGAAAATAAATAAATCGTTGGGTAGGAGTGGAGGGGGTGGTTTGCAGGGAGGTTAAAGGGTTTTCTGGAGGAGTAGGTGGGTGAGGCTGAAATGGGGGAGGTGGCGTAAGCACAGGCTGGTTCTGCCGGCCGACGCAGTGTGTGTGTGTGGGTGAGTTTTTGAACTACATGTTAACATTCGACTTTGTGCAGTCACGCGCTTTGCACATTGTTTGCAAATAATTGTTGGCAGTGGGCTCAGTAACACACCGGGTCGCGTGCTTCTTTCATGTGCGGTGTGTAGCCACTACCAGGGTGGAACAAGAGGAAGTGAAAAAATAAGAATTTGCCCTAAAAAAAACAAAGGGGTTAAAAGATGTTGCGTTCCCACTGTCTTGGAGAACACCAAAGCCTTTTGGTTGCATTTCAACTATTTGTCTTGAATATTACGAACGTGTACAAATCACTCAGCTAAGTCTGATTGGCCTTCATAGTCTCAGGATTTGCAGGTGAACCATCACACAACCCTGCGGTTATGTATGTATGTTGAACTTCTTTCGCGCCGTTGGTAGCCAACCATGCTAATCGGAGGTGCGAGAGGACAACAAACTGAACACAAAAAGTACTTCTAAAGAAATGAGTTTTCAATCTAGATTTAAAAGTGCATAGTGGCTTCCTAATAACGGAAGGAAGAGCGTTCCAGACGGCCGCAGAAGCGCATCTGCAAGCGCGCGATGCAGTGGCCGTCTTTGTTCATTGGACAGCCCAAAGCCGGTGCGAGGATTACTGGTGTTCATGTAATGGTTTATGTTCCTTGACGATGATGCCTGATCCGAAAATCCATTAGCGTCCGAGTGTTTACTCTGCTGTGATGCGTTGTCAGAGGCTCGCCTGAGCTCTATCGCTCGTTTCCTGCTGAGCCAACTTTACAACCTGCCCAGGGACTTGCCCACTCATGGGAAAGGATTTAGTAGAGGGGAGCGCACAAAAATATTAGGGCAGAATCCCTGCCGGCCCAAAACTGGGAAAAACTGGGGCCGTCTCTTAAATTAGGATTATTGCCATGAAGTAAAAATGTGTGGGGCTACACTAATATGGAAACATTGAAACTCTGGTCACTTGTTGGTCTTATGATTATTAGTTATACCACAGTATCCTTTATGTATCAACGAGACTATATAACCCTATTGAGACCGTGAAATTGCCTCTTTTGCAAGAGTCACCTTTGGGTGGAAAAGACTAAGTTTAACATTTAGGAAAATCTTCATGGCCTTATTCAAGATGAAGTCTGGCAGAAAAGTATTTACACTACCATCTTTATGCATACAAGTATTGATTTGTAAACGCTGGAATGACGTTTCCTTACTATTTGTCGTTCGAAATGATGCGGAGACATTTTTTTGGGTTCGGTAGAAATTAATGACTAACTTAAAAAGCCGAGCTAAACCGTCAGATGTCTTTTGTTGTTATGACAGGCAATTCATGTCACATATTTCCGCTCTTAACCTTAGAACTCACAACTTACAGCTCCACTTTATGGTGCCGTTATAATGCTCATCACGAGGGCCTGTCGAGAAAATCTGCAGGTTTTCAACTTTGTTCTTGGCGCTCAGTGTCTAATTAGCTCTTGCTTATATGGTTGACACCGTACTACCCTGTGGAACTGTTGCAAGGCTGCTCCTTAAGCAGTGACCTTTGCTCCGTAACTTAAAAGCCTTGTGCCCGCGGGTCTCGTCTAAATGTGTGGGCATAAGCTCCTTTGACGGTTCTCCTCATCACGGCTGTGTAATGTTGAGATCTTGTGTCATGCCATCGCCAATCCCACGACACATTTTCCAGTACTCTATCACAATTTACGTGTTTCCTTCCATCATCGTCATCGTCAGAATCAGGCACGATTGATCCACTGCTGGATGAAGGCCTCCTTAAGCCGCCGCCATCTCTCATGATCCTGCGATGTAACACTTCACCGAGCACCTGCCCACATGAGCTGATTTTGTCACTCCATCTCCCTGGTGGACGACCCCTCGGATGCGTACCATTACTTGGATGCCGCTCCATTTTCATTGACCGTCATCCCTTGTAGCCACGACGTGTCCTACCCAGGCCCACATACTTTTATTAACAGTTTGAATGTTGTATTTTAACTTGATCAGATCTGTTGCTGTGTGCGATCTCTGTTGCAAAGGATATCCGAGTACATGTAGCCACCTGGGGTTGGTTAAGCTTTCTATATATATTTTTTCAATTTAGTTTCTCTAATTATCAACATTGTGGCAATCAACCCCAACATTCATACGAGTAGCTCATTCAGTGTTGGCAAGCCACACTCTAATAATTATCTAAATATTTATAGGCTGCTCAGAGCCTTTAATCAGTTACTATTTGCAAACTTTCCCTGTAGTGATGTTGATCAATAGAACCTCAATACACACTTTGATATATATTATATAAAATTGCCTTTTGTAGAAATATGGATTTGTCCTTTGGAACGCAGTTTATTCGTATACATTGTATGTAACGGGTTCACTTGACCTCTGGTGCACCTCGAAGCCTCTTCATTCACCACAATACAAAAAAAAACCCATTAAATTCCTCAATCAAATCCAGATCACTATGAATGGTGACAATTCATCGAATTACATCGCAATAATTGTCCCCTGGCGTGTCGGATATGTGCTGTGACCGCACGTGTTTTAGATGCTTTTATAAATCTAAATTGTGACCATGCTTAAAGTGTTGATCATGAGCCACTTTCAGGCCACTGCTAGATGATTAAGGCCCTTCCACGCTGACAGGGCCAGGTGGCTGCAGTTCATCTATCCTTGCAGCGGCTTTTGGCTAACCATCGAACAAAGACGGTCACCGCAACGCCCGCTTTCAGATGCGCTTCTGCGGCCGTCTGGAACGCTCTTCCTTCCGATATTAGGAAGCCGCTGGAGCTATGCACTTTTCAGTCATCTAGATTTGAAACTAATTTATTTATAACTGCTTTTTGTTTTGATTTAAAGCTTTCGTGACTGCAGTAATTCATATTCTTAGCTCTTTCGGTAAAGTCACGTTGAAGGGAAACAATAAAATAATAAAATATATAAATAATGCTATATATTTTATTAATTTCCTATATAATAAAAATATTTATTTTATTATGTTATTGTTTCCCTTCAACGTGACTTTACCGAAAGAGCTAAGAATATGAATAACTGCTTTTTGTGTTTAGTTTGTCCTTCCCCCGCAACTCCAGTGAGCACGGTTGGCTACTTACGGTGCAAAAGAAGTTCAACATGCATACGTTCGTCCCCAACATATGCCTTGGCTCCATTTATATCCATCTTCTCTCCGCTCGCCCGTCTGCACTTCTTTTCTCCCCGTCACCTCCCTTGCACCGGCATGCTCTACCAAATTACGTGTGAAACGCAGTCATAATAGCGATCGTGATGTTCGTCCATCCAATTTCACGTGTCTCTTCTTGTCCTTTTTTAAAAAATATTCCAAGCAAGCATGCGTTCACCCCTCCGCGTGCTTTTCCGATTTTGTCACGGTTTTGCTGACAATTAGCAAACCTTTCCAATAATGTCACTCACTACGCACAAAGAGTGAAAGTGTTATTTTCTATCGCGGTATATTGCCATGAAGCTAAAGATGAGAAATGTGCCCTGTTATGAGGGAGACACCGTAGCATCAAGACAAATGTCCCCCGTATAGCCTGAACAGGCTATTGGGGCAAGTGCTGCTTGCGAGCACCTATGAAGGCCGACGCAGCACACGAAGGGGTGGGTGGCCAACACCACGCCCGGCCGCCTTTGTCTCCCCAGTGGCAAATGTTTACACACCGCAACCAGGTACCAATTTGAGGCCGAGTCGATCTGGGGCAGGCCCAGGATCGGTTCAGATACTCGTCACTGGTGTTGGCCACGAGCGGGGAGTCGAACTCGGATGGCCAGGTCCGTGGAGCAGCGTGCAGGCCGCTGCCCCCCCCCCCCCCCCCCCCCACAGGGTTGTAAACACAAACAGCCGTGCACACGAGCTCCACTACTGCACGTACAGCGTTCATGTTGACCTCAGAATAGTATGTGGCCTTCGAGTCGAATCCAAGAGAAGGGGGGGGGTTAGGCCATTCGGTTGCCACGGCTGTCTCATTGTTCGGCCAAGTTGTGACTCTGCAAACTGTGGGAGAATTTGCTTTTATCAGCCGTTGACGAGCTCGGCATGTCTGGTAATCATGTCATCATAACGGATGCGCGAATCCCCTCGGAAGGGCAAGCAGCTGCAAGCCCTGTGTTAGGTTTTTGTGTTTGTTGTGTGTCTGTGTCAGTGCCGCTGGATAATAGTTCATTTTGGAGAGAGTAGAGCAAAAAAAAAGGGAGCTTGGTGCCTGCCTTTGAATTTGACTTTTGACATTGACATTTGTTATTCCCTTTTTGTGCGGGGTTGATGGACCTTTATTGAAATATTCATACATTACTGAGAGCATTTATCATAAAAAAGCCAAATTAGTGGCACCCGAAGCCCTCCTGTTATTTTCGTTGTACCGTGGGATATCGAACGTGACCAAATAAACTAACCGCCCCTCCCCTCCCGCCCGCCCCCACCCCCCCAACCGTCTATATTGTGAAAGATTTCAAATCCAAACACGGCATGATCGTCCTGTAATTATTCTATCCGCAGCGCTGTTGGTTTTTGTGGGGTTTTTGGGGCCACTAGACACATGCCCGCGGTGACAATTGAATAACTGAAACACAGCTGAACGGTGGCAAAGCATTTCAACGTATTCATCGTAATCGACTCTCAGCCCCTCGCGTGGGAAAGTGCAAATGCCACACTTGACTAACATGGTCACGCGGTACTGTGTGGGGAGTGGGGGGGGGGTTGTCCTGTGAAATTATATCTTTGCGTTTCTTCAAAGCGATTATGTAAATTAAGACCTTCAAATTCGTTTTAACGTAATCCTCGCGAAAAGTGCACGAGTTGAGTTTTTGACAGCATGCGTTATAATGGGGGCTTTCACAGCTGGTATCTTGGACATGGGCCGTGCCTGCCTCGCCCATAACTCATCACAATATTGGGTACGTTTTATTTGCTTTCATTCAGGGTTAGCTGAGTTTATATAATGTGCAATTTGTGTATTTCCTCTCAAACACTGCTTTATAGAGGAGAAAAACTCATTTTTCCAACATTATTTCACCCGGAAAAGCCTCACCTGAGTCTTAAGATACTTTTTTTCAGGAGGGTCTTGCTAATTCTGAAATTTAGGTGGTAATGTTGCCACGTGTTTTCCCAATTGAGCAGTTTGCTGGTGACTTTTTAACTGCACGTCGAACCTCTTTCACACCGTACATAGCCAACCGTGCTAATCTGGAGCCGCAGAGCCCAAGTGCTGATCATTTCAGCACACGACCAGCGTGTTGGGATAGCAATCCACAACATTTAAATGATGCGGTAGAGCGCGCGCCCATCGGTTTGCACTGTTGCCGGGTCATAAATATGTGCTCGCTCACCAACAGATCCGATCGAACCAAGATTCTTGCGTACGTATATGGCCTACTCTTTTTCGAATAATGCTGCGAGCCCTTTCACACCCACTGCGAAGTGAAATCGCAAGCCGTGTGCCTCCCGGGGTTCAAACCTCGGAAGATCTGCAACAAGGGGCAAACGTGCTACCACTCGGCCATGTCGATTCCCCATGGAAAGCCAGTTATTATTCGGGAGTCTAGTTTTTTTTTCCGTGTGTCTCAATATTCAGATATTGCAGAGGCGTTAGATGAGCAACACATTCTGTGACTCTCATTGCAGAGTGGCCATCCCAGGGCATTTATATGGTTGTGGACAGTATCGTAGCATTAACTAAATTGGAATGCTCTTCCAAAAGCATTTGATTTTTCCTTTGCAAGAAATTGTGTTGACATATTTATCAAAGCTAAGCTCACATATAGACGTTAATGGGCGGAGTGGTGGTGCAACGGTTAGCGCGCGACTCTGAACCTGACAGCCTAAATTCGAATCCCTGCCATGGCTAATATCAGTGGCAAGTAATATGTGAACCGGTCTATGCCCCCCATCACCAACCCACACTGACCGGTACGGTGAAGTATAAACAAACAATGACCATGGCTAGGGGGTTGCCTTCATCCAGCGGTGGAACGATTTCCATCACAAATTTTAAATGTGTACGTCACCATTGTTATTCCTGTTATGGTGGTCAAAATAGAGCCTTCCTTAATTCTTGGTTACTCCTCCGTTTTGAGCTCATAATGAAATGCTTTCCACACACTTGTGTGAAATCACAAAGGACGTCGTAATTGGAAAACCGCACATGTTGATCTCCTGCTTTTGTCTCTGTGTGCGGCTTGACACGTTCACCCTGTGTTCGTAATATTTGGTGAGTTTGGCTCTGGAGGGGAGATTAGCAAGGAAGATATTTTTCATGGGTTTTTTTGCTTGTTATATTTTTGTATAATATTTTGCTTTTTGGAAATACTTGATTGCAAAACATCTCAATGAAGCCAAACCCATATGTTACACCGGAGAGAAAATCTTCACAATGAAGTCGTATTTGGTACGTCGTGCTTGTAATGTGTACATGTGTGTTGTGTTGTTATGTTCTTGTTTGTATGTATGTATGTTGAACTTGTTTCGCACCGTACGTAGCCAACTGTGCTAATCGGAGGAGCGAGAAAGGGTGATGACTGCAAACACTGAATATTATAAATCGAGGAGTATTGTGAATATTTATCTTGTCGCGTCTTTTAGCAAGTAAACCAAATAATTGTTGTTTTCTGTCGTTCTTTATTCACGTTGTCTTGAATTAAAGTTGATATTTTCTATCACGAAAGTCAGCCACATCTGCGAAGCAAGGATAATTGTTTCAATTCATCAGCCTAAGAACGTCACGTCCATCACAGTGGAAGCTGGACATCCCCCATGTATGATGTGCAAGTATCTTGTTAAAGCCTCGTTACGTTTCGCCATCAATCCCCCTGTCACTCTGCTGCCTTGTCATGGGCACCATCACTGCTCGAATAAGTGCCACCGATAGTAGGAAACGTGGCTGAAGAGGAGGCAGGCAAGGGCAGAGATTCGTGAAGAATGCAGTGGCTGCGATGGTTGGCTAAAATAGCAGCCTTATCGGAATTCTTCTGTCATCTTCACTACCACTAGAATTAATTCGCTTTTGGAGAATGTTGGAAAGTGTTGCTTACGTGAGTTGTTTTTTTTTTCTCCACAAAGTCTCGTGGCATTGAACCCAGTAGGGAAATTCCACATTTATATGGCGGTGACCAGTCTCTTAAAAAGAAAGAGAGCCACTGCCGACTGACCTTGGGGTGGTGACCAAAAAGTTGAACGATTGCATTGGTATTATTGGTCCCCCGACACAGACAAACCGCCCCCCACCCCCCACCACCGCATTCATCATTAGCAATTCCTTGCAGTACAAACGGCTGCTCAGAGCAACACAATGCCCGTTGCCCAACACATCAGCCCATTTTGTATTGTCCTGTTATAATAATTCAATGATTTTGGTGAATGTGATGAGAATGTTTTACGCACGAAGTGGTGTTCACCAGTTGGCTCTCATATGATACCTCCATGAGATATATATGTGTATATACTGTACTGTATACTCATATGTGCGCACCTAAATAAAGTATATAGTATATACAGGCATCATATTGACTCGAAAGAAAAGTTAATCAGCTAACTCACACCCACAACTTACGTTTAATTTCTCTCTTTTTTTACTTTATAGAATTGTTCATTTTCATGTTTACATGTCTAACGATGTGATGGCGCTTTGGGTGGCTGAATTGTACCAGCACGTGTTAACCAAAAATAAATTGACTTTGACTCGACTTAGCACGGACACGTCGCTAGAAGGGTCGATGTCCAGTGATGAAGGCTACCGATAGAGTGGCTGCCAAAGGAGGGAACACACGCGAGAGGGCGATGAAATCAGCTCGTGTGCAGGAGCTCAATTGATTGTTGCATCACAAGCCCAATGGAGTTGTATTGGAGAAGCCGTCATCCAGCAGTGGATATAGAGCATGGTTGCTGCTGCTGATGATGATGATGATATATGTGTTAAAATTATTTTGCACCGTACGTAGCCAACCATGCTAATCGGAGGCGCAGGGGAAGGACAATAAACTAAATGCAAAAAAGCGGTTCTCAAGAAATTAGTTTTCAATCTAAATTATTTAAAAGTACACAGCTCCAGTGGCTTCCTAATATCAGAAGGAAGAGCATTCCAGACGGCCGCAGAAGTGCATCTGAAAGCGTGCGATGCGGTGATCGTCTTTATTCAATATAGAATATCCTGTATGCTGTATCTTAGTCAAGTATGCTAATATGCAGCGTTGTGGATTTTGATATTACGTCACTTTATTGTTAATTTCCAGTCATCCACAATGGGCATCTAATCTTCATGGACCACATTGCAGATGACCTGTCTGGGGCGGCTCTCATACCGGCGGGGCCGGAAGCGTGGATGCCTTACCCCCTGTACGCGGCAGAGTTCGCCCCGGGCCTGCCCCACCATGCCTTCGCCTACACGCCGGCCGCCGCCACCGCGGCCACAACGCTGCACACACAGGTATCTCAATCCTAGAGGGCCATCTGCTATCGGTACACACACAGGTATCTCAATCCTAGAGGGCCATCTGCTATCGGTACACACACAGGTATCTCAATCCTAGAGGGCCATCTGCTATCGGTACACACATAGGTATCTCAATCCTAGAGGGCCATCTGCTATCGGTACACACACAGGTATCTCAATCCTAGAGGGCCATCTGCTATCGGTACACACACAGGTATCTCAATCCTAGAGGGCCATCTGCTATCGGTACACACACAGGTATCTCAATTCTAGAGGGCCATCTGCTATCGGTACACACACAGGTATCTCAATCCTAGAGGGCCATCTGCTATCGGTACACACACAGGTATCTCAATCCTAGAGGGCCATCTGCTATCGGTACACACACAGGTATCTCAATCCTAGAGGGCCATCTGCTATTGGTACACACACAGGTATCTCAATCCTAGAGGGCCATCTGCTATCGGTACACACACAGGTATCTCAATTCTAGAGGGCCATCTGCTATCGGTACACACACAGGTATCTCAATCCTAGAGGGCCATCTGCTATCGGTACACACACAGGTATCTCAATCCTAGAGGGCCATCTGCTATCGGTACACACACAGGTATCTCAATCCTAGAGGGCCATCTGCTATCGGTACACACACAGGTATCTCAATCCTAGAGGGCCATCTGCTATCGTACACACACAGGTATCTCAATCCTAGAGGGCCATCTGCTATCGGTACACACACAGGTATCTCAATCCTAGAGGGCCATCTGCTATCGGTACACACACAGGTATCTCAATCCTAGAGGGCCATCTGCTATCGGTACACACACAGGTATCTCAATCCTAGAGGGCCATCTGCTATCGGTACACACACAGGTATCTCAATCCTAGAGGGCCATCTGCTATCGGTACACACACAGGTATCTCAATCCTAGAGGGCCATCTGCTATCGGTACACACACAGGTATCTCAATCCTAGAGGGCCATCTGCTATCGGTACACACACAGGTATCTCAATCTAGAGGGCCATCGGCTATCGGTACACACACAGGTATCTCAATCCTAGAGGGCCATCTGCTATCGGTACACACACAGGTATCTCAATCCTAGAGGGCCATCTGCTATCGGTACACACACAGGTATCTCAATCCTAGAGGGCCATCTGCTATCGGTACACACACAGGTATCTCAATCCTAGAGGGCCATCTGCTATCGGTACACACACAGGTATCTCAATCCTAGAGGGCCATCTGCTATCAGTACACACACAGGTATCTCAATCCTAGAGGGCCATCTGCTATCGGTACACACACAGGTATCTCAATCCTAGAGGGCCATCTGCTATCGGTACACACACAGGTATCTCAATCCTAGAGGGCCATCTGCTATCAGTACACACACAGGTATCTCAATCCTAGAGGGCCATCTGCTATCGGTACACACACAGGTATCTCAATCCTAGAGGGCCATCTGCTATCGGTACACACACAGGTATCTCAATCCTAGAGGGCCATCTGCTATCGGTCACACACAGGTATCTCAATCCTAGAGGGCCATCTGCTATCGGTACACACACAGGTATCTCAATCCTAGAGGGCCATCTGCTATCGGTATACACACAGGTATCTCAATCTAGAGGGCCATCTGCTATCGGTACACACACAGGTATCTCAATCCTAGAGGGCCATCTGCTATCGGTACATACACAGATATCTCAATCCTAGAGGGCCATCTGCTATCGGTACACACACAGGTATCTCAATCCTAGAGGGCCATCTGCTATCGGTACACACACAGGTATCTCAATCCTAGAGGGCCATCTACTATCGGTACACACACAGGTATCTCAATCCTAGAGGGCCATCTGCTATCGGTACACACACAGGTATCTCAATCCTAGAGGGCCATCTGCTATCGGTCACACACAGGTATCTCAATCCTAGAGGGCCATCTGCTATCGGTACACACACAGGTATCTCAATCCTAGAGGGCCATCTGCTATCGGTACACACACAGGTATCTCAATTCTAGAGGGCCATCTGCTATCGGTACACACACAGGTATCTCAATCCTAGAGGGCCATCTGCTATCGGTACACACACAGGTATCTCAATTCTAGAGGGCCATCTGATATCGGTACACACACAGGTATCTCAATTCTAGAGGGCCATCTGCTATCGGTACACACACAGGTATCTCAATCCTAGAGGGCCATCTGCTATCGGTACACACACAGGTATCTCAATTCTAGAGGGCCATCTGCTATCGGTACACACACAGGTATCTCAATCCTAGAGGACCATCTGCTATCGGTACACACACAGGTATCTCAATCCTAGAGGGCCATCTGCTATCGGTACACACACAGGTATCTCAATTCTAGAGGGCCATCTGCTATCGGTACACACACAGATATCTGAATCCTAGAGGGCCATCTGCTATCGGTACACACACAGGTATCTCAATTCTAGAGGGCCATCTGCTATCGGTACACACACAGATATCTCAATCCTAGAGGGCCATCTGCTATCGGTACACACACAGATATCTCAATCCTAGAGGGCCATCTGCTATCGGTACACACACAGGTATCTCAATCCTAGAGGGCCATCTGCTATCGGTACACACACAGATATCTCAATCCTAGAGGGCCATCTGCTATCGGTACACACACAGGTATCTCAATCCTAGAGGGCCATCTGCTATCGGTACACACACAGGTATCTCAATCCTAGAGGGCCATCTGCTATCGGTACACACACAGGTATCTCAATTCTAGAGGGCCATCAGCTATCGGTACACACACAGGTATCTCAATCCTAGAGGGCCATCTGCTATCGGTACACACACAGGTATCTCAATCCTAGAGGGCCATCTGCTATCGGTACACACACAGATATCTCAATCCTAGAGGGCCACACAGGTAGTCAAATGCAAAATGGTATCTTGTATCATTACATTCTGGAAGTTAAATTAAAAAAAGCTCATTCAACAGAGTAATAAATTAGTTTTTCAGGCTGGTGAAAAAGCTCATGTAATTTTCTTCTAGATCTAAAACAAATACATTTGTCAGCTTATTTTAAGAGGTATAGTTCGTTTCTTCTTAACTAAGTAAATGGTGAATTTATTCCAGTCTACAACAAACTTAAAGTTATAGTCTGGTCACTAATTAGGTCAAAGTCTATTCATGAACACCTGAACTTGAAATATAATTGGCAACAGCATTGGTAGATTAACCACACATATCGTCGGTTTATTTTCTGATGCACTTACCTATTAAAACCTTTAGAGGTAATCCTTTTCGTGCCTTGACAAGTCGGCTGTAGGGCACTATGACAAAGTCCAATGCAAGGTGGCACACTCATTTGCCCACCATCTCACCACATGGTCACTCGGTGGAGGCTCTGTGCATCTTCACAACGACAATTGTTCATATAATTTTTGATGCCAACATTAAGACTCAGCCCAACCACTGGGCATGCTTCCTATTGGGTCAGCACGTAGGTCACCGGTTGGATCTCCCAAATCGGTAGTTTTCTTAAAATCCTCCCGCCTCTATTCACCCATCGGTATAAACCAGTAAATCACAGGCCGATCGGCAAGTTGTGTGCGGTGGGGCAAAGTATGGCCGCTCACCACATCTACCAAGGTGTTTGGTGAGCATGGAAGAGTAGGCCAAAGAACCCTCTAAAGCTCCATCCAACAGAGGTCCCTTCTGCCAGTAGTGACGAGACCAAGACATTGCAGGGATGCACCTTCACGTCTTCCCAATGCAATCAACAATGAGGTGGATCATTCCAATGAGTTAGGTCATTTTATCAGCGTAAAGCCAGGCACAGAATCGCGTGGTACTTTTTCCTGGAAAGTTAAAAGGCAACCATGTGCGTGCGTTGGACTTCTTTCGCACCGCACATAGCCAACCGCACTTATCGGAGGTGCGGGGGAAGGGCAACAAACTAAACACAAAAAGCAATTAAAATAACAAACTAATTGTGACTGCCCACTTCAAATTCCATGCTATCCACATAATTCATTGGCACAATCACCCCATATGACACCACTAATATGGAGGGATACAGTGAATATTTCGTTCTTAAGGAATATAAATTGATCACTTAGTGTGGACCGCTATCAACTGAAGGTTGAAGTATATATGCAGCACGTCGAGTATTCGTATGTCCTTTTGTGTCTGTACCATGGCCTAAATCTCAAATTCCAAATTACAACCAAACTTTGAAAATATGGATTCCTTTCGCAATAAAGTTAGAATGGCCCACCTTGAGAAAGGAATATTGTATCTCAATTCAGTCTCACCTCATTTAAAAAGCGATCGATGCACATAGGGTGTATGCATGTCTACGCCTTTATTGTGGACAAATGTGTTTGTGATACTGCATTGGGAGTGGTGCACGAAAACAAATCACAAAACAACGGAACACATTGGTCAATAACACTGCTCTAAGAAGAACTCGTATATCATAGGCAACGTTCCGGTCAATGGCCCTTCTTAAGCTCTGCAGTGAAGAAGCGCCATTGTCCAGAAATGTCATCTACGACATATTTTTTTCTTCTTTCTCCTCGGGCAGTGTCGTTGATGAATGTGCAGAGTATTGTAGCGAAACACTCAAGCAAAAAAAAATACAATGGCACATCATCCACAGCCGTACGTGCATCATTTGTCAGTACAGGTAAAACATTTTTTTTAATGAGGCCGTTCTTTACACGAGAGCCACTCGCGTTGTGTTGCCGTGTAATCGCAGCGACACTTACAAGTCACAGGGCTGAGTACTTAGCAGAGCCACGGGGGTGTAAGGTTGAGATCCAGCCTGGCAGGCTCGTGCATGTTTCATCATGCCTTGCCTCCACTCGGCCTCCTGGACACATTAAAAATCTGTAAATTTTTAACCGCATGAATGTTTAACTGTTCCCGCTTAATAATTGTTGACTTTCATTTCCTTTAAACAGCCGTTCAATGCTTAGACTGGCACCGCATTAAAACGACTTGAAGGGGGAGAAAAAAACGAGACTGATGTATAACTCAGATGTAGCACTATGGAATTAAAATTACGATTCAGCCGTAGAGATATTGAGCTTTACTTAACTATGATGCCATTCCAATGAACTTAACATCTGATGTGTGTGGCGGTCGGCTTGCTTATTTAGCGCACTGTAATAGCAGCCCTCGCCTGCGACAGTTCTGGGTGAGTGGGCAGAGCTTTCAGGAACAGTTCACCACAAGTTTGTCCAGAAGACTGATGGTGAGGTGGATTTTTTTAAATTGTATTTGCAGGTTCGCTGGTTGCCACCCCCAGCAGAGACGGCCCCACAGGGCTGGAAGGGAAGGCAGTTCTGTTAGGATGAGGGTGAGTGCCTCCTTGCCATGTCATTGCGTGCTTTCTCCTCCTCATCCCTTTGACCTTTAAAACTACACCACTCTTTCTGTCCGCAAGCAGATGTCACAAGTGGGCAAAATATAACAGAATGGATCGAGATGTCATTTTATTACCGCTCGCTCGCTGTGTGCAACTCTTCCACAAATGGGAAATTAAAGATGGCCCACAGTGCATTCACCGTGGCCACCCTAACCAAACAATGGACCATACAGCGAACAACTGTACTCTTCCGCCCACTCTCCGGCAGATCGGACAGTATTGGTCACGCTACTCACGAAGCTATCACATGGCTCCCAAACTTAAACCTGGATGTATAATCTACACGTGCTCGCCATACAGTAGAAGAAGATTATCGCTATTCCGCATCTGCCAAACACCATGGTGAATCCAAGCTTGTTGCTGTCATCATTTCCCGACTATGATCCAATTGTCTCAGCCGCTGCCAGCATTGGCGATGAGCGATATATCTGAACCGGTTCCGGGGGGGGGGGGGGGGGCTCCTTCACCAACCGGCACTGGCCAGCGTGGTGAAGTATGGGTCAATCGACTCCGATGGCCAACACAGCCTGGAGAGATCTTTAATGCGGAAGTCGCTTAACAAAAAGGCTGAAGTTATTAATAATAATAATAAAATATTAAGATAATCACAATTATTTAGTTTTCACGTCCCGCCGTGTATTCGTTTCGTTTCCGACACTTTCTCTTCCTCTCTCACAACCTCTCGTCACCGTTTTCACTGTTTCCGTAAGATCTACTGTGGCCCGTCCCTTATAACCAATTTTGGTAATTTTGTTAGATGAGTGGTCGGGGCGGTTTACATAGCTTTTGAACTTTTTCAATCTAAATAAAGCTCCAGCCATTTGGAAAATTTCATGATGTCATGCAAGAAATCAAAACTTGCTCGCTACTTCTGTGAAGTTTTGGCACGCTATGCCATTGTCCACGTGTAAGCAATTTACTCACCCAACGGCTGGCTCCTATGACGCCAATATTCGCACTGCTTTACCCGAGGTGCTTGCAAAAACGTAATCGATCTCGTTCATTGTCAGAGCGCCTATGTGAAAATAGTTATCTGTGAATGGTTTTTTTTCTCTCCCAATTTTTGGGGCTGTGATTGGCACCAATGGAAATCCACACAACGTTCGACCTGCATTAAACCAGATGTGCATCACTTGTGTCGAGGAGCTGATAATGTACAGGTCTTTGTCAATCGACTTGTGGATGAAGAGGCCTCCCGCACGCCGCTTGGCCTCTGGGGGTTGTATGACATTACTTCACCACACTCTGCACAATGCTGGTTGATAAAGGGGGTTCCCACGATCCGGTTCAGATAACAACTGGCTGGGCATCAAACTCGGGCTGCTGGGTTCATAGTCCAATGTGCCAACAGCCATTGCTTTCAGCAGCAATAATACCCGGGAACAACAACAACAACAACAACAAAAAACCAACCAGCCTTCACTCCAAGTTGCACTTTTTAATTGTTTAAAAATGATCCATCAGAACTACGTTCAACAAATGTGCATTTTATTGCAAGAGCAGCCAACAGTGGAAGCGAGACGCTGCTGTAGCTGCGCAGCTCCCCATTGTCCTCTGCCATGACCCACCGTGGGCACATTTGTCCTTCATGCTGCCTGAGCAGGATCTGCCCGGTACTGTTTGGCATTCACACGGTGAAAGAAAAAAATGCCACGCCGGCAAACACAGAATACGTGAAGTGCTCCAGATTGACTCCACTGTACCCCACTCTGCCGAATGACAAAAGTAGACTTGGTGTGATTTTTCTCCCGTCACTTTTATATTTAGAACCTCTTAACATATTCTTGCACGTGTGCAGCTGCTTATCGTGGGGGGGGGGCGGTAATGTCTTTTGTTCATCACCTGTGTGTGTGTGTGTGGCTTTGTATGCCCCTGTGTGTGTGCGGCTTTGTATGCCCCTGTGTGTGTGCGGCTTTGTATGCCCCTGTGTTTGTGTGTGTGTGTGCGGCTTTGTTTTTTTGCGGGGGAGCGGTGGCTCAACGGTTCGTGCACCGCACTACGAACTCGGAAACTTAAGTTCGATTCCTGCTCACGCCCAACATCGGTGGCGAATATCTGATCCGCTGGCGGGTTTCCCCAAGGTCGACTCAGCATTAAACGAGTACCCCATGCAGTGTGTAAACATCTGCAGTGGGGAGAAAAATGTGGTCAAGCGTGGATTCTTGCACCCCCCCCCCCCAACCCTCTTATACGCTGAACTGGCCCTTACAGGTGCTCGCTTAAAGGACTTGTCCCAGCAGCTTTGACAATTAATTGTCTTTTGCTGATTTATCGCCTTCAGGGGCACATTAGTGGTGAGATGTTAAGTTTCCCGTCTGGTGTGTAGGAGGTCGTGGGTTCAATCCCGACCCTGACGCCTGCTGTAGATTTCGAGTTTGTGATGTCGCTCTCTCTCTCTCTCTCCCCGTGGTCGTGTGAATTTTTCCCCGGGTCCTCTGGTTTTTTCCCTCCACATTTAGAATCAACGTGCGTTTAGAGAATTTGGCTGCTGTAAATTCCTACGTGATAAGCCACTCTATTGAGATATTATTTGTGGCCAGGTCGCTTCTGAAAAAATAGCTATATAGCTCAGTGGACCTTACCTGCTAAAAAAGTAAATAAATAGATTTTCCATAGTTTAAAAATGCGATGGGGGGGGGGGTGAGAAGGTGTAATTATTACGACAACGTAGTCAATCACAACTGTTATGCGATGCAGTAGCTTGGTCGACCATTCGTACCCAGCTTTTGCCTGGTTTTGCACAACCTTCTTCCTGACAATTGACGTGTGCCTCACTGCTGTCCCTGTGCAGTTTGTTGGATGTGCGATGTGGCGTGTGACCCTGCTCGGGCGGCTCCCGGGCAAGATGAATTGTGGGCGACGCGTTGTGATGGGGCAGTCAGGAGCCGCATGGCCGTGGCAGGGAAAGGCTCCCAACACGTGAGTAATACAATCTGTCAGGGCTTTTTGCCGAGATCTGGTTACCGAATGTTCACCAGCGCCGTTTAATGTTAGGGGGTGGGGGGGCGGGCGGTTCTTTCGAGTGTGGGAATGGTCGCGTGCTTGCCTTTGGGAGTCAACGGTGGGATTATCGTAGCCCGACGTGTCCGATAACGCAGGGTATTTTTCAGCGAAGCGCAAATGTTGGTAAAACGCCGGTTTCATCTTCACCTTTGTGTGCGCTGTGCCACCAAAACTTTGGTTGTCACTTTCATCACCCTTATAATATGTGTGCACTGAGCTCTGAATCACGCGTGCGCACGCACTCTGAAATGAACTTCCACGTTTCGCGCTCATTGCTACCGATTGCATTTTCGTCGCGCGTTTATAACTGCAAAAAAAAATCATCGCCGGAGCGATGCGCATATCACGATGATAATGACGAAGGATGCGACGTTGTGGTTAAGACGACCGTTGACTCGCCGCTGCGGGCTGGGGTTTTGCGCACGTGCCATTGTGAGATGGTGAGGGGAATGACGCGCCCTAACTGTCGGGAACCCCTTGGCCATAATGGTTCCTTCCCATACTCATCCCCAGGGCACGCAATGACCTCTACTTGTCCTTAAAGGGCCAAGTTATTCTTCATTACATCTTTACCTGCCGTTTATAATCAACCACAGTAACAAATCAACATACTCCTTTTTTGTTCAGTGTAAGACTGTTCGGGTCTGCGTACTGCATCATATTTTTTGTAGAAAAACATCTTTTTGGAAGCCCATATGATGGTTAACTTTATACGCAAAGGCATGTGAGTGTATTTGTATGAGCCTCTCGCATACATGTGTAAATTTCTGCTTTTTGAATAGCAATGGCTTGGCAGACAAAGGAGTAGAATGCGTCCGAGAGGACGTCTGCTGACCAGACGGAGCTCTTTTACATCAGTTTTGAGTGCGGGTGATCGGTAGAAAATTAGATCGCATGATCTTTACAGTTGGCGGTGGCTCGTGGGTATTCATCCAGCAGTGGATTGAAAATGGCTGATTGATGATGATGATTATTATTCTCAAGATTATTCTCAAGATTGTTTTAACCTTTTGAGAGAAAGAGTTACCATGTAATACCCTAACCATTACCACACGAAAAATCTAATCGTGCAATCTGGTTGATGTTGCTGTCTGCGCCATTGTAGCTTTACAATTAAGATTGTCTCCTAAAAATACTCCTAACAGCCTGCATCGAGTCAACAACAACCTGCCCTGCATTGTTTGTTCCTTTCTGTTTATCAGACGAAACGCGACCTCACATCTGACGCCCTGCATCATTCCCCGGGGGCTACCAACAGCATCACACATCCAACAAACGTAGCACTCATCACTCATTTTTTGCCTTTTGATACCTTATTATTCAATTTATTTAAGAACAACGACGAAAAAAAAGATGATCTTTCCAATTGTATAAAGTAAATCGTCATGCTAAGCAACAAATTGTCTATGATATTTTTATATCCAAAAAAAATGTACGCTTCTAATCCGTTATTACGTTTTGGATTTTGTGTGTTTCTGTTGCATGCTCTTTATTGTAAAAATAATAATGAATAATAATAAAAAGTTAATACCGTATTAATTATTATAGATACATAATTGCTGTAACAATTTAATTAGAGAAGGAATTGTACTCGGATGTTGAGAAAAAATATTTTAAAAGTGCAATGTCTTTTGGTAACATTCTAAAATAATAATAATGGTTTTTTTGTTAGTTTTGTTTTTGCTATGGAACACCTTTTCATGCAATATGTTCATACAGGTATACAATATACTGTCTGGTGCCATTGGTAAGAGTAACACAGTTGTATCGCTGCAGGAGATGTTATTTGAAAATTGTGTTTTAAGAAATAAGGTTATTTGTGCTCCATACAATTTTTTGGGGGGGGAGGCGGTGGAAGGATAAAGTATTTGCTTTTCATTTTGTAAAATATTTCTGGGTTGTGTCCGGCTACCCATGCTAATATTGTAAATGCTTTATGAGCATTGTACTTTTTTCTTCATTAAAAAAACTGTTAAAATCAACGTCTTTTCTTGTTGCTCTGTGACTCTTTCAATTCGCTGTTGGTATTACTCTGAGTCGGTACATTTGTCTGGCCAAGTGACCTCAACACTAGGGCCAGCGACTTAAAAATCGAAAGGTTGCGAGTTCATACCCTTATTGGTGGGGGGGACGAGGGCATAGATTCAGCCCATCACCTCTCTGGGGTCGATAAAATGGGTAACCTTTTTTTGGGAAAGTCAACAATGGTTGTCCTATGGATAGACTCACCCCTGCCATAAGAATGAAGAAATTTCACCACTGTGTCCCAGGTCTAAATACAGGAGATGAGCACCAATGCTTCATTGAGCGATAGTGACTGCTGGCTTTATCGTCTATAGAAGGTTAAACTTAACAAAACCACGAGTCTTGATAAAAATGCTCTTAAAACTATTCAACAATTTTTTTTATTATACCAGGTTCGGCCCACTTAGCTATATAAATATTTTTCAGAAGCGACCTGGCCACAAATTGTAGCTCAACGAAGTCGCTTATCACGTGGAAATGAAGAGCAGTCAAATACTATCAACGCATGTTCCTAAATGTGGAGGGGAAAACTGAAGGACCCAGAGAAAAATCCACACAACCACTGGGAGAAAATGCAAATTCTAAATATACAGCAGGTGTCAGGGTCCGGATTGAACCAACGACCTCCTGTATACCAGTCGAGGTAGTTAAAATCTCGACACCATGGCACCCAAATACCCACATGGGGCTTAATGCCAAGAGTCATCCAAGTAATGTGAACTTTAGTAGAATTTTTCTGGTAAAACCACGTTTAAATGTAAAAACAGCCATCTAAGTTCTGGCATATATCTGATATTCGTTTATAACGAGATATTGGGACGGGGCCTTTGAGCTCTTCCAGTCATTGCCAATGATTAAAGCGAGGAGGAGGAGGAACACAGCACAACGGAGTTTATCTGAGCCTCCTTGTGCTCCCTGGCAGGGTTTCCCCTGTTGTCAGCTTTCCGCACTGGCCAAATGGTGGCGCATTCGCCATTTGTTGCAGAGGTTTCACGGTGGCATTCCAACGGCCGTCGTGATTAAGAGGCGCCACGTGATGGCCGAGATGTTAAGTACCTCGACGGGTGTACAGGAGGTCGTGGGTTCGATCCCAACCCTGATGCCCGTATATTTGGAGCTTGCGTGTCTCTCTCTCTCTCTCGCTCTCCGTGGCGACGTGGATTTTAATCCGAGTCCTCTAAAGTTTCCCTCCGCATTTAGAAAACATGCGTTTCGAGTATTTAGCTGCTATAAATTTTCGACGTAACAAATCACTTCGCTGAGCTCGCATTTGTGGCCAGGTCGCTTATAAAAATTAATCTGTATAGCTCAGTGGGCCTTACCTGGTAAAATAAATAAATATAATTTTGTTTTAACAGCGGTTGTGATAACTGTGACGACACGCGCAGCCGTCTGCTTCACAGTGGAGGTAAAAGTTCCCCTGGCCGCCATCCACAAGACGAGGCCATTGTTTGCCGATGTCACGCTCCAAATATTCCGGATTCGAAAATTCCCCACAAATTACTAAATTGGAACGAATTGATCGTCGCCCACGCTTGCAAATGAAACTCATCCTGATATCTTAATTCATCACCTGGTTAAAAAAAAAACTGTTTTAATGAAGAAAATGTACAATAGATGCCGGATCTAAGCACACCCTGTGTAAGCATATTTCTCATAAAAAAACACACATCCTACATTACGCTGGTGGGAGGAAGGTGATGGGTAACTTCTGATACAAGCACACGGCAGAAATAAGCACAGCTCGACTTTCCCAATGTATTAACAGCAATGATAATCAGGAAGTATGTTAGGGATGGAGTTGGCACTGCACAGAGTGACAGGAAGTGGTGAGGTTGCAACAATCGCACACACCCTCATACTGTTGTTCTCACTGCTAAATTCAAACACCTGTTTCCACATCCATTTGAGGGCGGGGGGGGGGGGGGATACTAGTTTATTCACTGAATGTTCACTACAATAGGCGTAACATTCAACATCACGTCATAACAATTCATGGAATGGAACACTGCCTTGGAGTGGTGAAGACTGACCCCTGCGGTTAGCATGTTCTCATTTTGGTCACGTGGATTTTTCCCCGGGTCGTCCACTTTTCCTCCCCCCACGTTTAGAAACGTGCTGTTTAGAGTATTTGACTGCTCTCCATTTCCACATGATAAGCCACTTCGTTGAGCTATTATTTATAACCAGGCCACTTCTGAAACACAGCTACAGCGTATAGCTCATTGGGCCTTAACCTGATAATAAAAAATTAAATAGACTAAACAGGACTGTCCGGAAGACAGCGCTGTCTTCCGGACAGTCCTGTTTCTTCACCTGAGGAAGGCTACTTGTGTTGTGGCCGAAACGTCGTGAGAATTTTATTGTTATATTTTTTATTGTATTCCCATTCTACGTGACTTTACCGAAAGAACCCAGAAGATGAATCCCTGCAGTCACGAAAGCTTTAAATCGAAATTTAGACTGAACACGTTGCTAGTCAAGGACTCCCACAGATCTGTGTTTTGGTCGTGTTGCGTGTTGCTCGGCATATTTGATGTTTGGCCCCACGTTCAGGAGAGCTTCTACAGTAACATCGTGGCAAACAACACAAATAATCGCAATAGGTATTGCGAATTTTGGGGGGGGCAGAATGTAATACACCGTCTAATTGCGTGCCTTTACAGGTCACCATACGTCGATGGTGATTTACTGTGAGCAGCCAATAATGGGTGTTGCGATTTTTGAGGCCCAGAAACGGCAGAATGTACATACATATAATGTGAATAAGCCAACCAAGAATAGATATCCATTGTACTGTAATTTATATGAATACACTAGCTCCCGGCTTCGCCCGAGACTTCAATTCTTGTCTTGGATTAATACACGGCCTACGCGGAGGGTGGGGGGGGGGGGGGGAGGATGCGTGACGTCAGCATGCGGGGGACGTCACAGCTGTCACAGATGTGACGTCACCGCTCAAATGCCAGATTTCAAATTTGTTGCTTGTCGGGAAGTATGCTCAACATTTCGAACAGACATTCACAAATGGCCCTTTTATATATATAGATTAACCCCCCTCCACCCCCCGTATGGTCTTCCCACGTGATTGATTCGCAAATGACGACATCACAGTCACCCCTCTATTTAAGACCGAAACAGGAGGAGTTCTCCACAACTCCGGCTATCGCCCGATGAGGCTGGTTATAATAACCGGCGAAGCGTCGTACTCCGATTGTAAATGTTGTGGGTTTACTCTCCAATACACCGGTGTGCTGCGCTAGTAACTAATTGCCATGTTTTATTTACGTGACAAACCCTACTAATTGGCTGTGTCGGGTGGTGGTGTCAGGTTTAACGACACATTTATAAACTTGATTTGAAGCTTTCGTGACTGCAGGAATCCATACTGTGGTTCTTTGGGTAAAGTTACGTAGGTAGAGAAGTAAAGTCACGTCTAGCTACGTGACGTCTACTTACGTGACTTTACCGAAAGAACCAAAGAGTATGGACACATTTATACTTAAGCGATCTAGCCCCAAAAAAAGGCTATCATGACAAAGGAAGAATGACACGGCCACACTCGCGAACACCTATGCTGCATATTCTTGGTTCTTTCGGTAAAGTCACGTAGAAGGGAAACAATAAAAGAATACAAATATAAAACAATAAAATTATCACGACGTTTCGACTGCAACACAAGCAATCATCATCAGGTGTGAAAACTACAGCAAGAAAATTAGAAAAAGTGGCGGGTTTTTTTAACGTTAGCACCACGGAGAGCGATTTGACAGTTTGTTCAGATGGACGAGTCCATCTATGTTCGGAAAAGAGGAGGGGGGAGACGAAAAATAATGGATGCGGTCTGAAAGCCACCTTAAGCGTGATCAATCAATTAAGACCCGAAATGGGTTATCAAACCCTTCCAATGATTGCTAAGCCAGAATCTATCTTCTCGGTCGAAATTGTCTCTGTGTTTGCATATGTGGATAGCCTCATGAACGAATCTCTCATGGTAGCCAGATGGCTTGCAAACCTATGCTGCAGTTATGTACATCCATGGCAGCTTCCGCAGCAGGAGGCAACGGTAATACCCTGAATTACGTGTCCCGCTTTTACGTAGTTTCGCAAATATACGTCGTCACGTGATTTGCGTCGCCTCAACCCCCTCCTCCCACACTTACATCGCTGACAGCATCGTCCGACCTGTCTCGTATCCATCGCTTCCACCGTGCCATGTAAAGCGCCTTGGGTTGACGTCGTTTCGATATTCGTCGTCGCACCTCGCAGGAACGCAATCCCCGACGTTAAACCGGGGTATCGCCGTTCCTGAAAATCCACTTTAAATTGCGCGTGATCATTTTGGTCGTTGCGGTGACATCTCCGTGTTTTGATTGTCACCCGTGCAAATTGCAGCACGCGCGTTATCGGCCAAATGTAGTGCAGCTGCGGCGGACTTGAGGATAATGCCATCCAACACTGGCCAACATTTTACTGCAATCTGTCAGTGGGAGGAAAATAGGTCATGAAGATGGCGATTACGAAGCCAACTGTGAAGATTATTAACGAGATTTTTTTGGTATGTTTCATAATTGATTTCTTTGGGTGAGATTACGTGAGTAAACGGTGAGTCGTGACGTCCTCCTCCACCAGCCAATAAAGATGTCACGAGCACAAATGTGCTGATTTATTACCGCTTCAGCTCAAACCTGCGTGTTTGGAGAGCAACACACAACACATTTGACAATGGTATTGTGGATTGCTCTCCAACGCATCAGTGTGCCGACGCAGTAATGAATTGGCACGCGTATCTACTGGACCTTCTTGCCAGTATTAAGATAATTAAAAAAAGGCTCTACACTTTCTGGCAATAATAAAGGTGTTAAAATATCAAAACACCAAATAGACACCTATTACAAGGCATCCCGTATGCATGAACCACACATAGCTGTGATAAAACATGCAAACAAATAAGGTT